TTAGACAAGGCAGGTGAAGAAGCGAATGGCTCCGGAATTTCTTAGAAAATATTCCATTTTGGCCCAAACCAATGGCCCCAATATGCATACATTGTGATAGCCAAGCTGCAATAGGAAGGGCTGGAAGCATTATGTATAACGGCAAGTCTCGACACATAAGACGAAGACATAACTCTGTGAGACAACTACTCTCTAGTGGAATTATCATAATTGACTATGTGAAGTCAAAATATAATGTGTCGGATCCACTTACAAAAGGCCTAAATAGAGAGGGAGTTGAGAAATCATCGACGGGAATGGGACTATGGCCGAGAACAAGTCATCGTGGCGGTAACTCTACCTAGAAGACTGGAGATCTCAAGATCTAGGTTCAAGGAGATAAAACAAAGTCATTGATGACAGTTCAACATTGTCAAAAGAAAGAAAGAAATTATTATTATTTTATGGTCCATTCTCATGATGAGACAATATTTAGTAACTAGGATAAAGACATAAGGACTTTTTAATGGTTTCTAAGTTTGATACAGGGAATATCAAATGGTGTATCTATGGGATAACACATTTAGAAATCACCTATGTAAGTGTGAAGTGTAAGCCGCTTCAAGGAGAATCCGGTAAGGCCAGTTCTTTAAGCACTTACTATCCAAGATGTGTTCATGGCTGAAACGAACAAAACAATGAGAACTAAGAACAATTCAAGGGTTGATTGTGTGACATATGTTGTCTAGGTATACACCAAAGCTCGACGGTTCAAAGATATCAAATCTACCGATTGACTGAGTATATCCGATATATGTTCACTACAGAAAGTTTAAAGGGAAACCTACTTATCAAGATGCGATTAACCTTTACCTACAAGACACACAAGTTTTTTCATGCATATGTTTTAACAATAGCCTTCCCCATTCATGTGGGGGATTGTTGGGTTTTAGCAAGTGTGAATGGGAAAATAAAAGAGAGAATATGAAAAGTGAGGGAACTACTTTGGAGGGAAAATGAAAAGTCATTTGCAAAGTGCAAATGAAAAGTCATTTCTCCCATATCGGCAAAAGAAATGGAAATTGTTGTCCTTATAGAAGGAAACACTTCCATTACTTCTTAAAAGAGCTAAGAAGAAGATGCCCCTCGCGCCGTCGTCGTCGTCGCTCGCTCGACTCCGGCTTTGGCTTTGGCAAATGATGTGATTGATTGATAAATTTTTTGGACAAAATGTATTTAATCAGTTTTTGTTAAATCAAATAAATCCTGTTAATATTATCTCTTATAAATTTACGGGTAACGGTAACATTCTGAAAAGTCGTTACTTTTCCGAAAAGTAGTTATTTTCCTAACAGACACATTTTTTTGAAAAGTTGTTATTTTTTCCAAAAGACACAACTTTCTGGATAAAATGGGTCTGAACAGATTTCATTGAACAGACATGTTCCTTGCTGAAAATGGCTATAAAAGGAAGTCAATTTTTGATTTTTCAAATACTGAAAATTTTTCTTTCTCTGCATTTATTTTTCTCTCAAATAAAATCAAAGTGTCGATCGACTGAGTCTGTGACTTGTTGCTGTTTTTATGTTTGTTGAAGTTAAAGAAGTCTGAGGTACCGCTATTTCTTTAACAGGTTTAATCCGTTTTATCTTGGGAGAAATTAATCCATGACCTTGGGTACAGTGAGGGGTTTAAATTTCTTAAGGACACACAGTAGTTTCTGTGGACTCGGATTAATTCTTGTATTTTATATTTATTCTGCTTCATCTTATTTCTGTTTCTGTTTATTAACCTTATAAATACAGGTTATTGTAATAATAACACTACTTGAATAAGACAACTAAGTATATGAAGAAATTTGCAGAGTGCAAGCGGTGTTCCACGGACTATAGAATTGGGGACATGCATGGTTGATGAAGTTTAACCCAAACAGTTTAAGACACTATGAGGCATGCACCACAATCTATATCGCAAATATGAGGGCCTATTTAAAATCCTTTTTAAGGCGGAGAGAGATCTCATACAAACTTGATACGCCTCCACACCTTAATAATATGTTTGGATCATTGTTATTCATTGTATTGTATTGTATTGTATCGTTACTATACTTACAATGTTTGTTTTGATTGTAACTTAAAATGTTTTGTATTGTATTGTATTGTTAAATTTCATTGTTACGTAACAATGAAAACCCCTATTTTATGGAATAACCAATTTGGTGTGTTTCAATTGTTACTTCATTTCTTTTTCCAATTATATCTTTACATAATATTTTAATTTAAATCTAATCAAACCTCCTACCCTAAAATAATTAAGGATATTTAAGTAAATTTATAAATTACAATACAGTACGATACAAACAATTAAAATATTACTAAACAATAACAAACAATACAATCTAACTAAACATTATATCTACCAAACAATAGAGTACAATACAATACAATACAATATATTATAAAACAATGGGTAACAATAATCCAAACAGTATAAGATTCATCATGCCTTCAATGCCAACATGCTTAAGCCATACTAGGTAAACAAGAATGACCCAAACAAAGGACAATTGAGAATACATATATTAGAAGTGACTTAATAATACACGATTGAGAATACACATATTAGAAGTGACTTATATAATAAATTTAGTCTATAGACATAATAAATATTTTACTGATGATACTTGAAGTTGATGAAATTAACACCCACTCTTTTCTTTATAGTCATATTGGAAAAAAATAAATTTCATACTCTTCATTTAATGCCGATTTTGTCCATTTATTCAAGGTTAAAAAAGACTTTTGGATTTAACATAAAAATTATGATTAAAAGTATATAATTTCATTTTAACATCAATCAAATAAACTTATATCAAAATCTAGATACTATAGCTAAACCTAAAATTAAACTGCAATTATGTGTTTCGGCAAAATTCATCTCTAAATTAGTTAAACTTGTTTTCTCTCTCGATTTCATGAAGTCATCCTTAACAAACATCTTTTTCATTTTCGTAGATAGAAGATTCGATGAATCAATTCAATTAGATATTTTTTAACCGTTATTTTGACAAATAAAGATTAAGAATCAAAACATAAATGGATATAACATCATGACACATGAGGGAAATACAATGAAGAGGAAAACTTAAGATTTAATTTTGAAGAATTTAGGAAGAGATTCATGTTGGAAGTGATTTTTCGACGCAACTCAATGTATTATGAATTTAATTTTGAAGAATTCAAATTTATGAAGAGATTCATATTGGGAGTGATTTTTCAAGGGAATTCAACTTAGATTTCTCAAATGCAACTCTACCTATTGTGGGTGAGATGTACTTCATTGAATTGAAATTCCCACCTCAGCCCGCTATAGGTTAAATTGCATTGAGAATAACATGTACTGATAAATCATCATTAATATATATAGGAGAGGCAGGAGGCTAGGGTTTTCTAAGAGTTGTAATATATTTTCAAAAAAGTCTAATTTATTTCCAATTTTTATGCAAAATCAAAATTGTGCTCTTTATTTTTTTAATTTTTTTTGGAACTATACAAATACACCCTCCTTTCATTTTTACTGGTCAGTTATTCTTAAAAAAAAATTCATTTTTATTTGTCCTTTATTCTTTAAATAGATTTTCAATTTTATTTGTAGCTTTTGGCATATATCAAGAAAAGACAATTTTTTTTTCTTTTTACCCTTTCCATTAAATGCTATTTTTCTTGTCATTTTTTAAAGACTCAATACTTAACATTATTTAGAAAAGTAAGGAGCCAAAAGGGGAAAAAAATTGTGAAAAAATTGAAAAGGGAACATCAATTTTTTTTAAAAATCGATAGGGCAAAATCACTCCTGACGAAGTGAGTTCCATTTGAGTCTATGACACAATATTGACATCGTTACATGAGAATACACAATATTGACATCGCTAGTATATAATTTAATTACTTAAATGCACGATGTAATTTAATGTTATGAATCTTATCAGATTTTGATATGTCAATCTTATTAGATTTTGGTACATTCACATACATGTATCTCAGAATATATGGACTCAAAATTAGGTTAATTTGTTTTATATACACTCTATCAAAGTATATTCACATGTATCTAAGATACATAGACAAATCTTGTGCCCTCACCTCTTTCTTATCTTGCTTGTCACTCTCTCATCTCGCTCGCGTATCTGATTTGCGAGATACATACACTAGAGTTTTTACTAGAATTATTGAAAAAATACCATAGTTTGTCATATTTGATTTGAAAATCTTCTCATTTTTTTAATGTTATAGAATTATAAGTTTGAAAAGAAAATGGCTAGCTCGCCCCAACCCTCGACACTTCCATGGTTGGGTTGGGTTGAGCATTTGCATGCCTTATCAAATGAAGGATTGACCCATCCTAGCCCTTCAAATTCATTGGCCCGCGAGGCTTGAGCTGGGTCGGCCTTTTTGACAGCTCTAAATTTGCTGTCTTGGTAGCTTTTTTATTTTTTTAAAAAATATGAAATTGCTGCCTTGGCAGTGTTTTTATTAAAAATAAATTTTTTAAAACAATCACTGACCTAAAGTCCCTTTCCATTGTTTCTAATTGTATCTCAAACACTCATATGTAACGGTATCGATATTGTGTTAGAGGGAAATCATTTAGTCGGGACCAATTTTGTCCTTTTGATTTTAAAAAACTTGATGTGTCCTTTTGGTTTTTTTGACCTTTGAGTTTCGTGCTCTTAATTTACTATTTGTTAGACGAGTCAACTTAAAAAGATGCCATCGAATTAGTCTCTTAGTTATCTCCTAATCGTTGTTGACAAAATCATACTATCATTTACAAAAATTACGCTTCAAATGACAAATTGTTTTTTTATAATTTTAGTGACCGATAAACTTATTGAATTGACAAAATCTTTTATCTTTGATAATCGAATTTGTTTTAGTGATATAAATCCGTACTTCCAACTTGAACAGCGCTGGCACATGAGTTGTACGTATAGGTGAATTTATATAGTATACTCACATAAGTTAGTAATATGTTATCACTAGTCAAGCATTCATTAACTTTATTATTACTATAAGAACATCCTCATCAATTTAATATACATTCTGGAAAATTTCTACTATTGTTCCTCATGCAATAACTAAAAATCATTTGTTCTGCCTTCACAGTTTCAAATTCCTGAACTTCATTTGGACTAAGACTGGTAATTGTATTCCAATAATAGTTGTTATTATAGCATTCTTGACGATTTGATTCTTGATATTGACATCCATTAATCGTAAAATTGCGATAATAAGCTTTGAATGGTCCTTGGCTCCAATCTACTTCTCCAACCCAATTTGTATCATTCCATATGGTTGCTTCAATGTGCATTTTGTGTGTTGGAAAATTCACTCCATAATTAGTATTGTTCTTGAAAACTCTTATTGGAACATTATCCGCGTAAAATCTTCAAAAAAAAATGTTAAATAAATAAATATGCATGTACATAGTTAATAATATTGACGATATGTATAACTTAAAATACTTACATGATATGATGTTGATTCCAAAGAATTCGATACGTATGGAAATCTTCTGTAGGATCAAAATCAAGATTGAATTGTTGCTCTCTACTTCCTCCATCATTTGCAAATATATTTGTATTTAATGTATATATACCATCTCCTCCAAGGAACTCAAAATCAATCTCATCATGATGCATTCCAGGATCTCCATTCATTGGCAGTGATGTTAACTGTAAATGTTCACTCATTAATCGATAACATTCATAAATTGCGTACAATTTTGATGATGAATCGATAAGATTGTGTAATTCATATATCGTTTTGTATAAAAAAAAAAATGTACGTACGTAGAATGTTGTTATTACTCCTGTACTGTTCTTGTTTGGTATTTTTAAGTCGATGCTAAAATCTCCAGAACCAAAATGTTGGTTAGACATAAATCCAGAACCTGAATTCAACAAAATTGAGTCAAAAAATATATTATTTATATGAATTTAATAAAAGCTAGAGATTGATGCTTAATTAATTAAAATAAGAAAACCTGTATATTGGTCTATAGTTAGGCAAACTTGTTTTCCCTGGTCAGTAACAGTTAGATGGTCACCTCCATATTTTTGATAATAATTTTGGTAAAATGGAACCTCATTTGCACTTAAACATTGATTAACAAAAAAGAAAAAACTAATGAAAACAAGAATTGCTTGAAAGTTAACCATTGTTTGTTTTGATAATTTGTTTGGTTGAACAATGACACAAATTCAATTTATAGAAAATTTAGGTGGAAGAAAACATTGAATGATGTATTTTTAGTCATATTTCTGCATTTAATACTTTTTTTTTGGTCTATTTTGTAATTGTTTTTCCTTTTTTAAAAGTCAAATTATATTTTTTTTAATCATATTTCTGCATTTAATACTTTTTTTTGGTCTGTTTTGTCATTGTTTTTCCTTTTTTAAAAGTCAAATAATAAAAAATTTGACTATCATTAGAAAATGTGTTTTTCATCAGTCAAACTATAATAATTTTGACGTTGTATGATGTATTTTTTATCATATTTCTGCATTTAATACTTTTTTTTTATTTTGTTATTGTTTTTCCCTTTTTTTAAAGTCAAATTATTTTTTATCATATTTCTGCATTTATAACTTTTTTTGGTCTATTTTGTCATTATTTTTTATTTTTTAAAACTCAAATTATAATAATTTTGACTAACGTTATAAAATGTATGTTTATCATATTGATTTTTAGAGTCAAATTATAATAACTTTTACTAAATTCTACATGATGTATTTTTCATCATATTAATATACAAAAAATGCAATTTAATTTAACTTTGAAAAAAAGTATTTTTTGTTTAAAATATTAAATTAATGTAATTTAATTTGACTTTGAAAATGAGTCAAGTTGACTTTAAAAAAGAACAACATGAAAAGTTGACTGAGAGTCTGAGATATATAGCATTAATTTAACTTTAATGAGATATTTTATAGTCATACAAATATTTATGACTTATTTTAAATCATAAATTGCAAAATATTTATTTTTAAATATAATATTTAGTAAAATTGTATCATATTAATTGAGAGGAGTTATTGAATTTTTGGAAGTGGGAAAATGATATTTAGGGGAGTAAAACATTTGCATAAGAAAATGTTAATATAGGGAAACGTGCAATGTATACACCCCTAAAATACCATATACAGTATCTTTGCTTCTTTAAAAATGTGTCCTCATAATATATACATGTAAAAGGTAATTAGATAGATAATTTTAATTTAATTTTAAATACTCAACCATAACCTACCCACTAAGACTTATAGTTGGTTAGATAGTATAAATAAAAGCACTTAGTATTATCACTCTCTTCGTTTATTTTTTCCTAATTAATCTAAAGTATAATACAAAATTAAACTTTAAAAGGACATCAACCTAGCTATTATAAATTATAACACTATACAAATCAATCAAAACGATCTCTCTATATCAATTTTGAGGTAGAAATAATTAGGTCTGTATATACAATACTTTTTTCAACTATATTGTATGGGATTAGATGAGATATGTTGTTGTTATACACAAATCAATCGTTATACATGGTAGAATTAAGGATATCAAGTGGCTAGGTTAGATTAAAATTGAGTAAACTTAAATGGATAGGGTTAAAATTAGTCCAAAAGTTATTTTTGAGTGAAAATGAGCTAAAAATACATTGGACTAAAATCAATAGTACATCATGATCTTGACTTGAACTCTACTATATGAATTATTTTTACATTTTTAGGCATTATTGTTAAAAAGTAATTTAATTAATGAAGGACATAAAAGTAGATCAATTGATTTTGAAGATATTTTCATCATTCAATATTTAACGTGGAATATATAGCTGTATAATATATTAGTCTTTATAATTGTGCATTGTACGATTATAACATGTCAATTTTATTATACTAAAAAAAGAATTATTATATAAAACGCAAGTATTTAATAACATTGATGAAAGACACAAGGTTTTTGATACTTTTTTTTTAAAGCATCAGACGGATAATTACGTTGTAACCTAAAGGAAAATGCACATATTAACCAACAAAATTTTATTCATACAAAGATTATAGAAAGGTTTGTTCATCCACATCTTTGTGAAATCAATTTTTTAGGAATTTACCTCAAAAAGAGTGTGGATAGTGAAAAAAAAAAGTGTTTGGTCGAAGTCCAAAAATCTTTTTTATTAGCCAAGTGATTGAATTATGGGGAAATGGTATATAATGAAAAATTATTAATTTATCTTATAATTACAGTTTGAGTGCTTCGAAGCAAATATGTTGTCCGTCGTCTTTTTCTTAAACTCTCGATCGCCACTCTCAAGCAATTGTTCGTCAGTCTCGCTCTCGCCTCTTTTGCTTTATACAAATAGAAATGTATAAATTGTGTTTCTGTATAAAACGAGAGAAAATTGTATATACACATGCAAATACATATATCTTCGTCTTATACACTTATAATTATACAATACAAATATTTTTCTGTCTAGTTTTCTTTTGTCTTTCTCTCTTTTTCGCTTTGTACAAACACAAATTATACAAAATACAATGTATAATTTATGTTTGTATAAAGAGAGAGAGAATGCTATTTGATGTACAAACGTTTTATTTCGATTCTATTGTATACAAATTCAAATTTTATATAGATATACAAACATATAACATTGGATTGAGAGGATGCCAACGATTTATACAAACGAGAGACTGACATTAATTTATACGAATGGTCTGCCAGTGAAATTATACAAATCTGAAAAAGAGCCAACGAATTATATAAATTGTTTCTTTTGTATATATGTATAGCGAAGTAACCACTGCCTTTGTATATATGTATCGAGAAATAGCATAGCAAAGTTTGTTATGGAGTTGAATTATGCAAATTATAAGTAAATATAACATACAAATATGATTTTTGTGTTTGCTATATGTGAAAGTTACTCTTGAATTAATGATATCAATTTCGCGAGAAATATAAAAATCACCATCTCTTTTTTTCATTTTTTTGATGCTACCATTTTTTCCCAAGAGATCGAATTGAGATACATAATAACCTTTTTTTTCTAAAAAAAAAAAAACTCGAAAATATCTAAATCAACTAACTATAATTTCCAAAGTTGTTTAAAAAATTTCCAGAAGTTATTGGAAGACCAGATAGGCTACTAATATTGTAGGAACCATGCACTATATGTATCATGTATATATTATAAAACATGTGATTTATATCATTTGCTAGCGACGATTTGTTCATGCTAACATGGATTCAATCTTAAAAATAAAGAAAAATAAAAATTATAAGCATTGATTTTTTTCTTGTACATGTTTTTTTTAAGCTTACAAGATCGTTTATTTAATACTTTTGAAGTTTATTTTTACTCATTCACAATACTAAAAATATGTTTTACTGATTCAATAATTTTATTGGGTCATATTTTCTGGCTAGAGTAGTAAAATTATTATGTTTGAAGCTTCATTATTAAGGCTATTTTTTTAATTTGACTACACATAAATGAGTTTCACATGACACATGAAGTGAAAAGAAATAAACAATTGAACATTCATTATTTTGGCTAAAAAATTTATTTGTATGCAAAATAATAGAGTTCTAGATATTTCTTTTACAACTTATTTCCAGACAAGCATACAATTGGAATAAGAAAATACAACATTGAGGCAAAATATATGGGGTATATCAAAAACTCCACATTTTTCATCAATTTCACGCATCCAAAAATAAATGAAATATCTTCAGACCAATATAATTCTACTTTCCAAATTATTATTTTTTTTGGAATAACATAAGGCTTTAAATCACATAAAAGATTATAAATAGAGATGCAATAAACAAAATTAAAATATATCTTTTCATAAAAAAATTAATAATTAAAAAGATGTCTATAAAAATCAACTTTTAAGATGTATAATTATTTTCTTGATTTAATTACTTCCCAAATCCACAATAGGGATTTACTTTCCATTAAGTGGTTTCTAATCACTTGGAAACTAATTGATATTTTTACCATATTTTGGAATTAAATTAGATTTACTTTCCAAAAAGAGTCTCATTCCTCCCCTATATAAACTCATATATGTCTTATCATTTTCTCATCCCTCACTTTTCAACTCACAATAAAGATGATTATTGAAGATGTTGCAATTCAATTCAATCAATGAGTATTCATGTTGTAAGATCTTTAATTCATTGTTTTTCCTTTAATTTTCTCTATTTTTTTAATTGATTATGCTATTAGATCCATGTATTTTTTTAATATCTTACCTTTGTAAGAAGTATAAATTTGATTTGCATAGGTTATACAACCACTATTATTGTATGGACTCTTGATTTCTACCAACATATATAAGTTCAGTTCAATTTGTTTACAAATGAACACAATATTAAGTAAAATTGATATATATCCATCCTGATTTGCTCTCCATTTCCAGGTTGATTGTGTTCAGGATCTGGTAGTCTAAGTCTTGCTTTTCTGATCGGCTCGTATTATCATGTGGTTTACTACAGGTAGTCATTCCCCCGTTCTTATAGTCTTTTCAAGAGTACTTTGTTCTTAAGTCGCGGTCATTTCTAGCCTCCCAATATAGTGACCGCTTCGTCTTCAGTTTTAGAATATGATATTATAGAAATTAGGTTGATTTTTGAAGTTAAAAGTGAAATGAAAATTTCTAAATTTTACTCTTTTTTCTTCAAATCTAATTATTATTATTATTATTTTTACTATTTTGAGTATTCTGTCAAGGCAAGGGTGTGGTAAGATCCATTGGATTAGTTTTAAAGTGGAAGATGTTTTTTTTTTTAGTGTTCACTTAATGTTGATATCACATACATATTTATATACACTAACTTGTCATAGATTGCATTGGATTTTAGGCATTATGTATTTAATAAAGGATATCATAACTTGGAACCCTTCTAAAGAGCCTAATGTTAGATACAATTGAATTATACAATGAGGCTACTGTGAGATTTGCTGTCACATCATTCCACATTAGAAATTTTGGAGCTATCATTATTCCTTGAATTTTTTTTATCATATAGAAATTACTTCTCCAAATATAAATAGACTTATGTTTTCGGTTCATTTGAATCCTTGAGTTCTTTTTTATGTTTGAAGAAGTAATTACAATATGAAAAAGAAATTACGTCAAAGAATAATAATGACTTCAGAATTTTTAATGTCGAACTACTTGAACAGTAAATTCACAATAGCTTCATTGCATAACTCTACGGTATCCAACTTTAGACTTTTTAGAGAGTTTCAAGCTGTGAAGAGTCCTTAATCAAATACCCAACGTCTCAAATTCAATGTCACCAATGACAAGCTAGGGTCAATCATCAAAGAAATTACAACATCATGTGAACACAAAAGAACATTTTCCATTTTTTCTTTGCATAGAAAAACTAACCAAATGGATCTTGCATGAGTGAATTTGATATATTTCTTTAAAAATGAGTTTTTAAAACTAAATCAAGATGATGGGTGTATATCATTTATAGTTAAAGTATCATGTTACATTAAGAAAAAAACTTTAC